CTGGCTCAGTGGATAGAGCGTCGGCCTGCGGGCTGAAGGGTCCCAGGTTCGATTCTGGTCAAGGGTATGTACTCTAGGAAAAAAAAGGGAGACATATGTACTACTCTTTGTAATATTTTAAGCAATAAAACAAAATTTTTTTAAAAAAGAAAACCACCTAGGGTTCTCTCATCTTCTCTTCTTCTTAATCCACACTTGCTCCCTCGGTGATCTCATCAATTCTCTTTAAATATCATCTCTAAGCTAATGACTCCCTAACATATATTTTAAACTCTAACTTTCCCTTTGAACTCCAGATATTTTCTCTAACTACTTACTTGACATTTTACCTTGGATGTCTAACAGGTATCCCCATTTGTCATGTATAAAATTGAACTCATGCTCTCCAATTCCCACCTCTATTCTCCAGTGTTATAAGTATTAGTAATGGAACCACCATTTATCAAGATGCTAACTAAGGCCAAAACCAGGGTATCACCTTTGATTGCTCTTTCCCCCACCCATTACATTTACTCCATTAGCAAGTTCGCCTGACTTTGTCTAACATCTCTCTATCTCCACTCACACAAATCTAATCCAAGCTACCATCATCTCTCATCTGGACTAATGCAGGAGCTGAACCACTCTCCTTAATTCCGTATGTGCTGCCCTGCACTCAATTAAAAAAGTATGATATCATGCCATTCCCTTCCCATCCATCACCAACTAAAAGTTAAACTCCTTAGAATGGCCTACAAGGCTCTACATGATCTGACCCCTACTTATCTCTCCAATTTCATATTTGTTTCTCTGAATTGATCAATTCACTCCAGTATAATAGACTTCTTGGCTATTTTTCAAGCACATCAGATTTTATATTGTCTGTTCTCTTTGCTTGGAACACACATTCCACAGATTTTTACAGGATGTCCTCCTCATTGTAATTCAGTACTCTACGAAAAGTTCACCTCCTCGGAGAGCAAAGGATTAATGAGCATATAGCATGTCATTTTCAAGATGAAGCAGGTATCAGTTTTTTACTGATTCCCTTTTCCAATACTGCCCAGAGAGTTTAATTTTGAAAGACAGTTCTCCTGAGCACTACTCCCTTCAAGGAGTCACCTTTCGAGGGTAAAGTTCTCTTACAACAAAGAAATAGGGTAACTTGAGAACATGTCTCTCTGGGTGTTATGGACTGAATGTTTTTGTCCCCCAAAATTTCCATGTTGAAATCCTAACTCTCAAAGTGATAATAGGAGGAGGTGCTGTTGGGAGGTGATGAGGTCATAAGGGTGGAGCCCTCATGAATGGGATTAGTGCCCTGATAAAAGAAAGGATACTCTGATTCTTTACTCCTACCATGTGAACTATGTGTGACAGAGCAAGAGGACAACAGTTTATGGATTAGGAAGTGACCAAATCTGCCAGTACCTTGATCTTGTGCTTCTCATCCTCTAGAACTGAAATAAATGTTTTTGCTTGTTTGTTTAATCTACCAGTCTATGCTTATAGCAACCCAAATGGACTAAGATACTAGGTATACATTTCAAATCTTTGGAAATATAAAACAATTTAGTCTCATTTTATGATTCTATATGAGACGACATGAGAACAAACTTTATGAGCCAACCACAAAGATTCTTCCATAGTACTCCCCCAAATATTAGGGTGGAGGAGATGCAGGGAACCCATTTTATATCACTATATTGAATAAAACTAAGACTTTAAGACTTTTCTATTGCTTCATTCAAATTTTCCCCCCACTCATCACAGCATCCTTTCCTAAAGAGGAGAAAATCTGCTTCTTAACTACTGCCTTGAGTGGGTATTCTGATACCACATGGACACAGACATCTCTGCATGCCTCCAGACTGATCAGCTAGGCCCGTGGTCGGCAAACTGCGGCTCGTGAGCCACATGCAGCTCCTTGGCCCATTGAGTGTGGTTCTTCCTAAGCCTTAGGAGTACCCTAATTAAGTTAATAACAGTGTACCTAACTATAGAGTTTAAGTTTAAAAAATTTGGCTCTCAAAAGAAATTTCAATCATTGTACTGTTGATATTTGGCTCTGTTGACTAATGAGTTTGCCGACCACTGACTAGGCTGATTTGTAGATGTGTTTCCTAAAGCACACAAGCAAACGGCTCTTCTATCGCCTTACATTTTTCAAATACTCTCTCCTCACTAGCTCAAAATGTTGAAAAATAAGACACTATCAGCACAGAAACGATTGCCAAGAATTCCTTTTACAGTGTTATTTCAATTTGCATGGCAAATGTCAATTCTGAACAAAGTGACCTTGGTTATAAAAAATAAGGAGGCAGCATCAGGATTGATGGGCCCCACTATTAGTATTTCATTCTGACAGGCAGGAAAGAAGTATGTTGATCCTGCACGTTCGTTGAGTTGTGGTTCTGAATTCAGGCCAAGTGGGAAATACCTTCCTTGGAAGAGTAATTTCCATCTAAACAAAGACAGGTCATGGAGCTTTGTTATACCTGGCAGCTACCTAAAGAGAATAACTATTTCCTAACAAGTCCTTTAAATTCACACGTTGACAATGAACTTCATCTGATTGACCTTAAAGTCATATGCCAAGTAGACTTTCAACTTCTACTAAATAATCAGTGACTTTGGTATGGAATGATGAATAGCATATTCAGCAAGAAATTTTGTAGAGACTGCTAACCAGGGAAAATATCCATGTTGAGATGCCTGGGCATAAAATAAGAATAAAGTTATAAAATCCAGGGGATGTCACCTTTGTCCTAATGGGCAAAGGGGCATATAAAGTGACTTGAGGCGAAATGAGTTAACATTAGGCCCAGGCAAAGTGGCTTATAAAGGAGACTGGGTGCCCTTAGGCATCTATCAGGTGTTTCTCTCCCTCCAGCCTCTGTGCTCTCCTGCACATGCTCACCCTGTGTGCTTATTTTGCTCTCAGCTGATAGTCAATAGCTTCATACTGAGACTGCTCCTTGACAGCAAGCCAATGATGGTAGCTGGTCAGGACCCTATTTCCTTAGTCTCTGCATTAAAGATGAGCTATGGCAGCTTAAACCCAGATCTAGGCTCTAACTGAGATAACTAGAACCAGTAATAAATATCAGAAGATATACCCTGACCTAAGAGCGTGTTTGTTTGGAGAGGGGCCTGGAATGTGCTCTGTTGTCCTAATCAAATTCTGTGAAAAATATACTGTTTCTCACAGAATTTGAGAAAAAAAAATATATATCTATATCTATATCTATATCTATATCTATATCTATATCTATATCTATATGGGCAAATTAAGTTTATGTGGGCTGCAAAAAAACCCCAAAAGCCTCAATTTTCATAGAAACGTAGGATTATTTCAAAAAGCTATATCTATATCTATATATAGATATATATATATATATATATATCAAGAAAATACTGGTATGAGATTCAGAATAATCAACTTCTATTAAATGTTTCTTATGTGCCAGGCTCTGCGAGTTTATTCTTTCAACTACCTAATAAGACAGATATTATAACCCTCATTGGAGTGATGGGATACCTGAGGCTGACAAAATGAAAGGGACAGGTCATGGAGCCAGCAGCTAGCTACTACAAGTCTGAGCCTCCTCCCCAGTAAACAGAAGACTTAGTGTTGTAATGAATGATAAGATAAGATTATTTGTCACACAGAGGAAGTCTTGCTTACCTGTTCAAACTCATATCTTGCTATTTCCTCCATCTCAATTGTGCGAAACTATATTCAGTTGGTTTCCTTCTGACTGGGACACTTGTTCCATTTCATTCTTTTTCCAAATTCTACATATCCACCAGGTCCATATCCATTTCTTCAGACCCCGCTCTCTACACAATCTTCCACACCCCTTATTATCCACTCCACCACAATCAATACCTCACTGTTCCAAAACTGATAACTAGCCTCTGCTTGAAAACCTTTACTGACGAGTCACTTTTTCATAAAAAAGTTCATTTGATCTTTGGTTAGGCCTTTATATTTTTTAAAATTAGTGCTTATACATAATTAAGAACTGGCACAAAGATTTAGTTACAAGGGTGTACACTGCTTATAACTGGACTAAAATGTCTGACTTTTAGAAAGTTTATTATACAAATTTTGAAACATCTTTACAATGGAAAATTATGAGCTCTTAAAAATAATATAAACCAGTGATTTTCAGCCTTTTTCATCTTATTGCATGCATTAACTAATTACTAAAACTCTGCAGCACAACAAATAAAATATAATTTTTTGCCAGTATGACAAAAATAGGTCTAATTTTGATTCATTGACACTGGATAGCTATTGTGTTGGCTGTTGTCATTTTTTTAATTTGACAGTCTAAGGGAAAAAAGGTCAATGCCCCTGACTATATAGTCAGTTTTGCATGTTTTAAAAATTCTTGCGGCACACCATTTGAAAATTATTGCCACAGATTAATACATTGAAATAAAAGATAATCATTGATCTATTGATAAGTAAAAAAAACACAAGTTATAAAGCCTAGTACAATCTGTACATTTCTAGCATTTCTGAGAATATTCCCCATATTATAGTTTTGTATATATCTCTCTTCATCACAAGAGGAGATGTTCCTTGAGGACAAGGCCTTGTTTTATTAGTTCTGTATTCATTTCAACAGGCCTTCAGTGAGCACCATGTGTGAGTAAAAATGTTAAGAGCTATAGGCTCAGACATGAATTGGATACTTTGGTCCATCAGTGTCTACAATAGTTCTTGGCACAAATCAGCTTTGAGAAAGACAAGTTAAATTACACATATTTAAGAATGGAATGGGTTGGATTAGATTAAATAGCTTTCTGTAATTCTGGCTACTGGATAGCATTTTAGAAGGCAAAGGGAATTGGACTAGAGTCAGAAGATCAACACTAGCTATGTGACTATAGGCAAGCCTTAGTTGCTTCATTTACAAAATGAAAATAATTCAGTTTACCTCACAGGTCTAAGATAATTATAAGTTACGCTGTAGTGTGTAAAAATTATTCACACAATCCTTGGCATGTAGCACAAGCTTAATAAATGGTTTCCAAAAGGACAGTAACTCAAAAAACAAATCAAATAAAACAAACTCATTGAAACCGAAGGCCTAGTCTGTGCCAAGAACTGGGCTTGATGTTCGGGACACAGAGATTAAACCATCTTTCCGGCCACATGAAAGTTGTCCTGTTGCTCTTCCAGGGGATGCACTGAGGGCATTAGGGACAAAAAAAAATTGGAGGCAGAGTAGACACTGTCTCTCCCTGGGATCAGAGGACTGACCAGGTGCTGGCATTAACCTAGACCAGCTTATAAAGTAAATAAGACAGTTACTTTTCCTTCCTCACTTTGGGACAGAGTCATATACTCACAGGCAGTGGCTCCTATGATCCCACTTCACTCACTATCAGGTATTTCTGATGTCTTTAGAGGGACCAACTATCTTTATTTGCCAAGCACTGACAGGTTTCTTGAAACATGAGATTTTCAGTGCTAAATCAGAGCAATCCCAGGCAGTAAAGACGGCTGGACACTCTCGGTATGCTAATGGTTCCCAAGAAAGAGCCTGATAAATGCTGGCATGCATTATACCTCTGTGGGGCAGATGGCAGTAGAGCATATCTTCAGAACTGGCTAATATTAGTCACTTCGACTAAGTTATGGACCTTCTTTCCATCAGGGTGTTTTTTTTTTCTCCCAAGGCCACCACTTTTTCTAGTGCCTTAGGTCTGGAATAATCATCACTTTTTAAATCACTCTGTAAAGATCCTAGCACATAGGCTCAGGAGTCAGAAAGCCTTGCTTTGGAATACAGGTTCCACTAGTAACTAGTTTATGACTTTAGAAAAAGCATAACTAGTTCAAGTCTCAGTTTTCTTATCTGTAAAACAGCCTCATAGATATGCTATAAGAATGAAATAAGCTAACAAACACAAACACATAGAAGAACAGCAGAATTCAAATTAATTCTGTATATCTAATCATCAGTTTTCTCCTGAAGTTGTTGACAATTTTCTATCATCCTATACAATAAAACCCTAATATGCAAATCAACTGAACAGCAGAACTACCGGTGGAACGACTGGTCGCTATGACGCACAGTGACTACCAGGGAGCAGACACTCGAGAAAGATCTGCCCCCAACTGAGAGGGAGGTGATTGGGGGACAGGGCTGGCCAGTGGGCAGTGCCAGGCTGCCAGTCAAGGTGGGTGCCAGCAGAGGCCCCCAATTGCCACGCCCACCGGTCGCCCCACAGATGGCCCTGATCGCCGACCAGGCCTAGGGGCCCTACCCTATATATTGGGAACAGTCTCTTAGATTTAAAAATTAAAACCTGGCAAGGCTACTCTAACACTGAAAAAACAGGATGATGCACTGATGACATGCATGAACTCTGGCTTGCACATTTGTGGTCAGCCCTAACTCTGACACTTATAACTGTGTTACTAAGCCAATTACTTAACTTATCTCTGCTTCAGTTTTTCCACCCATAAGATGGGGAAAATAGTACTACTACCTCAGAAAGATCATGTTATATACTCCTTTTTATAATTAGGGCAAAAAAATGCAGTTGCCCATACAACAGCAAGATGCCTTTCACTTGTATGAAAAGTATGGTCACTGGTGCATGCAGCATCCCAGATTGTGAGAGGGATGTCTGACTGCCAGTTTAGGCCCGACATCCCCCAAGGGGTCCCAGATTGCGAGAAGGTGCAGGCCGGGCTGAAGTACTGCCCCCCGCCCCATGCACGAATGTCATGCACCAGGCCTCTAGTATTATAATTACTGATGATGAAAATGATGATGATGATGATGATGATGATGATGATGATGGAGAAAGCTGGCGAATTTAATTTTATATTCTTAACATATGATAGTTCTGAGGAAAGCAGACTGTGCTGCACTTTTATTACAACAGGCATGCAGATGACTAAAAGGCAGCCTGTAGGTGACTATTCACACAAATAAAAAAGAGGCCAACTACCAACCAATTTTGCAAGATACACAGTAGATACCTTTCAATTCAGAGTAAAAGCTACCTCTCTATTACATGTCAACAATTAATACATACAGTATGAACACAGCTATTAAAAAATAAATACATAATCTGACTAGGACCTGTTTGATAGATTCAGTTGTTGAAAAGTATATATTTATTGCCATTTAAAGAAATAAAAAAAATAAAATGTAGAACAAATACTGAGAGCAAATGAATTAATACATTATTGTGGTTTATTTAAATGGTTTCTTCCCTTTCTTGGTGGATTTTCTTATATATTCTAAAATGAACATGTTAATTTACTTTAATGATTTTTTTAAAAAAGCTCTTCATATTAAAAGTCCCTTTGAGAGCCACTACCATTCCTAACTGAACTCTGATTAGCACTCTATCCTTATCTATCACTCTTCCATCAGAGAGCCAAACTCAGAATTAAGAAGCACTTTTAAAAAAAATCCTTTTTAGAGTATAAGGCACTTTCAAATGTGCTCAACCATTTAAACTCAAAATAACCCTCTTAAAAAAGATATACTCATTCACCATTTTATGAGCAAGGAAAACAATACTTAAGGCCCCCTACACACACACCATACACCACACACACACACACACCTTACACCACACACACACACGCACACACTCCTCTTCTGCATTTCCTTAGCTGATCTCCTCTGCTATCACAGTTTTAAGTACCATATTTATATTGATGATGTTTAAAGTGTACTGCTGGCCTTAGCCTTGCTCATTCCTTCTCCATTTCTCCATATTACAAATGGCACTAACATCCACCCAGATGCTCAAGAGAAAAAAACAATAGTCACCCTTGATTTTTCCCTTTTGACATTTCTTATGTCCAATCTACCCCAAGTTCTAACTATCTCACCTGAATGGTGCTGTTATAATCTCTCTATTAGAGCTCTCTGTGTGGCAGGCACATATATGTGAATCCTCTTGAGTATCTACCCCAGGTATGGGTTTCATGTTGGATTTGGTAATGGGATGCCTGGCTAAATATGCATAATAGCCCTCAGATTCTGATTTCCATAGGCCACATTCCACAAATTCTTTATATATATATATATATGTATGTGTGTGTGTGTGTGTGTGTTTCAGAGAGGAAGAGAGGGGGAGAGAGAGATAGAAATATCAATGATGAGAGAAGATCATTGATCCACTATCTCCTGCATGCCCGTACCAGAGACCCAGTCCACAACTCGAGCATGTGCCCTGACCTGGAATCAAACCGTGACCTCCTGGTTCATAAGTCAACACTCAACCACTGAGCAACACTGGCCAAGCCATATCCCATAATTTCTTACTCCCAGTGTCCTCGCCAGCAAGCTCTCTTCTTGGGATCAGTACCTTATGAAAGCTCAAGCTAGACTACCTTTCACTATTATATATACATTTGGCCCATGAGCCCCCATAAAACTAATGGAACTTATGGATACCCCATTGCCTCTCTAGTCACCTACTTTCATAAGTTACTCTAGCTGGCTTCCCAAACTCATAATTCTTAGCAAGAAGGAAGCATCAGCATCTACGTTTCCAATGTGTCTCCAAACCCTGGTTCTCATGTAAGACTCTCCAAAGAAATCATATCACACTCTCATGATAGCCTAGGAGGGCTGAATAGTTTCTGAAGCTCAGCAAGCAAGCTTCAGGCCAGGGAATAAGAAGACAGTATTCTCTTTATGTAGGCACTCCCATTCTCTCTCTCTCTCA